TGTCTCTTAACTCCCACATAGTAGACCTCAGTTCAAGTCCTGGACCCAGAGGCTAAAAACTCACCCTGGAGTGTGTGCTTGCATGCCCAAAATCCCAAGAGGGGAGAGGAGAAGAAGGAATTGCAGCATGGCCATCCCCCCGGGAGGTGATTTCTCACTTTCTGTCTCTCCATCTCTCTGTCTCTCCAACAAGCACACACACCCTACAGCAAACATTTCTCACAAATAAATAAATAGGCTTTCTGTCCCTTTTCTGTCTTTTTTGCTCTTTCTTAAATGTAAATTACACAAATGTCGGCTCTCCTGAGGGTGGCTGATAGGTCCTGTATGCTTTCCTCATTCTCTCCCATTCTTTTTTCATACTGCTTCTCTGACTGGATAATTTCCAATGTCCTGTCTTCAAGCTCACTAATACTTTGTTCTGCTTAATCAAGTCTGCTATTGAAGCTTTCTATGGAATTTGTCAGTTCAGTTGCTGAACCCCATAAGTATGTCTAATTATTATTTGTCAATTAAAAATAAATTTTAAGGGACCAGCAGACGGAGTAATGGCTACATCGCTGGACTTGCATGTAGTCGACCATGGTTCGAGTCCCGGACCCAGTGGCTTAAACTCACACAGGGTGCATGTGCGTGCATGCCCGAAATCCCAAGAGGAGATAGAGGAAAAGGAATTGTGGCATGGCCATTCCTCCTGGAGGGTGATTTCTCACTTTCTGTCTCTCTCTCTCTATCTTTCTGGTGAGTGCATGCACCCTATAACAAAAACCTCTCCCCCAAAAAATATTTTTTTTAAAAGAACCTGCATATAGATAACAACATCAGTTGACTGATAATGACTTTCTGAAGAACTATAGTGCAGAGAACCTGGGGCCTTCACTGAGCTCCTGACTCACTAGGAAGGTATGCCAGAAAACAGAAAAGATGTGAAAATGCTGTATCCTCTGACTAAGATGAAACCTCTGACTCAGTCCTCTGTCTCACTCTGGACTGAACAGTGCTTCATATTTTTCCAAGGTCTGATCTTTTAGGTTGGTATATGAGAAGGAATTTGTCATCATGTATCCCAGAAATATAAAGGTCCACGTTTGCTTAGCGGTTTAGTACTAAAAGAGCTATGTTTGATGCCATAGTAAATTTGTTCAACAAAGTTACACTATGGGCCAGAAGGTGGCGCAGCAGTAAAACACTAGGCTCTGCAAGGTTGACCTACCTGGAAGGATTTCTACTTGAGTTCAGATATCTCCCTGAGTACAACTGTTTGGATGACCCTAGAACCTGGGACTTGCTGGGACTGGGGTGGTTCATGGCGTCAGGATCCCATTGGGGTGCTGTCCCTCTTTCTCTCTCACTCACGGGGGAAAAAATTAATAAAATTTTAGAAAGTTACACTATGAAAGAAAATATCTGCTTTCTGTCGGGATTTTGTACATGCATACACAAGGGCCCAGCAGGAGTTTTAAGCTATCAGGTCCAGAATTTGAACAGCAGTCAGCTACGTGTGAATCCAGAGACATAACCATTACACCATCCACTGGTCCCCATAATTCCATTTTTGATAACTGCATTAAGTTACATAACCACTACCACGATCAAGATATGCAACAGTTCCAACACTTCAAATAATTCAGTGTCCCTTTATTATCAGTTCCTACCTGACTCTCACCACCTGGTAACTATATTTCTGTTTCCTGGGCCTACAGTTTTCCAAGATCTCTTATCACTGGAATCATACTATACATAGCCTTTTGAATCTCCCTTCAATTAGCATAGTGCATTTAAGATTCAGCCAATGTGTTGCATGTGTTGGGAGTCTGTTCCTTTTAATACTGAGTAGTATTCCATTGTGTGGATATACCATAGTTTGTTTATTCATTTACTATCCATAAGATGTTTGAGTGTTCCAGATTTTGGCAACCATAAATAAAGCCACTATCAAAATTTGGGTATAGGCTTTCATGTACATTAAGTTCTTGCCTCTCTTATATAAATACCTCATTTGGTAAATGTGTTTAATTTATAAGAAACTACTGCAGAATTTTCAAGGCATGTATTCCAGTTTGCATTCCCAGCAACCACATAGTTACCTTCATTTTTAAATGGATTGGATGTTATTTTATGTAAGGTTAGAAAATTTACATTTGTCACATTTTCCATAAGTTTTGAGGGACTTAATGCTAGTGATAGGGACAAAATAACCTTCAGATATTATTCAATCATTTTTCTGACAGGACACTCAGAGTATTAGCTGTAGGGTGGTTTTTGAAAGAGAAACAAAGGTACATGCTTGGTTTTTTAAAGAAAATTGAAGGCCACTCTTTGGATAGAGCTATTTTGATCCAATCATAATCAGCTTTCACTCACTATGATCCTGTTCAGTAATCCTGTGCTTACGACCCCTGTGAAATTGGTTGTTATTTAGCTGTTTTAATACTCAGCTTCTTCATCACTGCAGAGTTTTTGTGAGGATTAAGAAAAAAACTATATATGGGAAAGATCCCTGGAGTTAGAAAGCAATTAAACATTAAGTGCTAATAAGAGAACAGACATTCTAAGTGAGTTTAACTTTCTGTCAGCAACCAAGCCTAGAGATTCTTAAATTCTAATAGCACAGATCATATAATTATTACATATTAGAACAAAACCTAAGAGATCTTTCATCAAGTCCTAGATCTTAATGATAATCTCCATGAGGAAACAGAAGCCCTGAAAGGCCAAGATTACACAAAGTTACTAACTGCAAAGGTAGAGAATTGAGAGGTTCTGACCCTTTGCCCAGAACCTACACTACCTTCTTCTGCAGGCTGGTTTGAACAACGATCAGGCACAACTAATTTTTAAGCAATTATACTAGACCAGTCCCTGTCACAAAAGAATGGCCATCTAACTTAAAGTAACCCTTACCACACCCTCACAAGTCTCCCTGTCTTACTTTCATCACAGCACTAACTCTTATTTGTACTCATTAGTTCTATTGTCTCTGCTCCATGGGACTTAAGCTCTGCCAGTATAGGAACCTCTATCATTTTTATTGCCTGGCACACAATAGGTCCTCCTTAAATGTGTCCTGAAAGATGATTAGAAAAATGAACTTTCATCAAATTATTCACTCTCAACAGGTTTCACTAAATGACAGATGCCTTTTTTGACAAAATGTTAAGCCTCTTGTTTGGGTGATTGGTACGCATCATGGGCCAAGTCAGAGTACAAGAATTGCTCAGACAACCCAATGTGAAGAGCCTAAATCCTGTTCTCAGGCTGTAACCTCCAGTCCTGTTCTGTCTTGCTCCTCTAAGGGACATGTTATATAAACAGCATCAAGTGTTAACTTGTTAAATCAGTTACACCCAAAAATGTTGAGATTATTTAACAATGCAATAATATGAGGTCATATCAAGAATTCCAAGGAGAGGCAGAGTTTTCAAAGATTCTAGTTCAATGCCAGAGAGCTATTGTTCCTGGAATGATTTTCAGAAAATGAAAACTTAACTCATTAACCAATCTCTTTCATGGTACTTCATTGTATTTAATTCTTAGATTAGAAATTCTTTATTTTAGGTCCATTCCATAATCATCTTATTAGTCTCACATTTGTAGAAGAAATGCATAAAGCAAATAGTTCTAAATTTAATTTCATTTAACTTAATTTAAATTTTAAACACTGTAACTCATCTGTGTGGCGTGCCAATGGCCTTTGTAATAAACAAAAATCAGTTCCATTTACCACTGGGAATGTTCAGAAATATTCTCACTGGATTCTAAACTCCAGGAGGACAGGGATTTCATGAGTTTTGTTCTCTGATCTATTTTGAGAGCCTGGGACAGTGCCAGGCATTTAGAAGGAACCTAATAACTATTTTCTGAATGCATAAATAAACTTGGAGAAATATGAGTTGAAAGCCTCCCATGACTTATTCAGGGTGAGAGCAGGTTGATCTTCCAGTTTTTGCAGCTCTATCCCTGTGCAGACCTATGTGGTCTTTGTATCCACAGTCTCAGATATTCCATGGGATTTCACTTATCTGACTGGATTTACCCCTCAAGCTAACTTATAGTATTTTCCTGAGAGCTTCACAACATACCACACAGAAAAAAACTAAATTCCAAGAACTACTATAGAAACAAGGGGGAAACCTCATAACAAAGGAGGTGGAGTGGATTTGGTAAGGATCATCGGATTAGGGCAGAAGAACAAAGTTTTGGCCACTCCCATACCACTTAACTAGGGTGGGAAGCTCACCAAGTCACGTCCTCACTCTAGGCCTCATCTAAAACCTGAGAGGTTTCTTTTGATGTTCTCATCTTAAAAATCTCCATTCTGGGGATCAGCAGATAATGTAATGGTTATTGCACTGGACTCCCACATAGTTGACGGCAGTTCAAATCCTGGACCTGTTGGCTTAAACTCAAGCTGAGCACATGTGCACAAGTGCCCAAAATCCCAAAATGAGAATGGAAGAGAAGGAATTGCAGCATGGTCATCCCCTTTGACAGTGATTTCTTGCTTTCTGTCTCTCTGTCTCTCTCTGTCTGCAGTGAGCACAGGCATCCTATAGCAAAAATCTCTCTTAAAAAAAAGAAAAAGAGAGAGAGAGAGAACTCCATTCTGTGGCCCAGGGTAAGCTTATATACTTTGCATACCCAAAGGTGAGCCCAATCAAAGTGGACATGATTCCATGTCCACTTCCCAGGCTTATAGATGCTTACTTCCCCACAGAAGTTCTGAGATTGCTCTTGCACTTGTCCCTGGCCAGAGACAGAGTATCACACCTGCCCATTTGGAAACAGACAAGGTAACTTGTCTCGTATCTTCACTGCATTTCTTAGGTACAAGACTGATTCCCTCGACCTCACTGGGTAATATTAAAAACCTGTGCATATGTGCTAAGTGTTGTTTGATGGAAAGTTTAAGGGAGCTAGTTGAATTTTATAAAAAGCAGGTGACAAATCATCTTTACTCCATTTTCCACGGAAGTTAAAATAATTTTCAAAACCCCTACCTTAGATAGGAATTCATCCTGGTCTCATATGGTCTTTGGTATCTAGTCACCAAGATGGCCCCCGATGAATCATAATTCTGTGTATTCATACCACTGAGTACCCTCTTCCTGCACCAAATGTGGGCTAGCCCTGTGTAACCAACAGAATGAAGCAGTATGACACTGTGCCTCCTCAGGCTAGATCATAAGCAGCCCTGAAGCTTTTCTACTTTAGTCTTCTAGAATGCTAACCCTTGGGGTGTTCCCTATTGGAACTCAGCTGCCATGATGTAAGAAGCCCAAGCTGCATGAAGAGGCCCTGTCTCAACACTTTAGTTAGCCATAACCCCAGTTGAGTTCCCAGTCAGTAGCCAGCATCAACCACCAACCCCCTCAGGGAGCCATCTTGGATGTCCAACCCAGTGGAGTCTTTGGATTACTCCAGCTCCAGTCACCTTCTGACTGCAACTACATGACAGATATCAAGCAAAAAACTGCCCAGATGAGCCTAGCCAATCCATCAGACCAATTGTTAATATTAAGATGTTATTTTAAGTGTCAAAGTTTTTAGTGGTTTATTAAATAGCAAGAAATACCTGTAATATTGCCTCAAATTCCTTTACTAGATCCCATGACACTAAACTGCTTTCACAAGCTGTTTATACTCCCATATATAAGACTACCCTTTCTTAGCAGAAGCTCACAAGTATTATGTTTTAAAAATCCCTCAAAATTAAAATTTAAAGTTAGGATATTTTCTTATTGAATTTGGAATGGTTTATACTGGATATACAATGAAGTTGAGTTTTTTAAATATGTAATGTAAAACTAGTTGCTGTCTGCAAATACATGTTTCTGACTACAGATATACGGCTCTTATGATCACGTTTCTCAATAATTTTCCAATTTCAAATACTCAATCAGTCACAGGAACTTTTAGGAAGTTTTAATTCATGATCACGTTACTCAATAATTTTCCAATTTCAAATAATCAGTCACAGGAACTTTTAGGAAGTTTTAATTTTGTATCCAAATTGCATGACGCAGCTGCTTCTCACACCAAAGCGAAGCACAGAAATCCTTGTCAGGTCACTTGTTCATCTTATGGTTCAAAAAATATGATCCCCTCACTAATATTCAATGCTTTTCATTTTGCTTTCTTCTTTGGATTTGAGATGCTGATTAACTGGTCTAATTGTGCCCTATTGAGCCCCAAAATAGGAAAATAAAAATAATAACACATGCACACTTATTTAAACACACACAACACACATATGAAGAAGTCCTGAGTTGTGAAAAATTTGCAGCTATCATTGTTTTAGAGTCATTGAATCCTCTTTTTCAATATCAACAGATTAAGTAACAGGCTTAAAAACAACCATAATGTATTAACTATCTCCTAGTTTCCAGATATAATTCTTAGTGCTTTAGACATATTAACACATCAATTTTACAATAACATTAGATATAGACATGTATTACCCCCATTTTACAGTTGAAAGAGTCATGACTCAGAATAGCAAAATGAGGGACCAGTGGAGCATAATGGTTACATCGCTGGACTCCCACGGAGTTGACTACGGTTTGAGTCCTGGACCTGGTGGCTTATAATTCATGCTGGGCACATGTGAGTACATGCCCAAAAACCTGAAGAGGAGAATGGAGGAGAAGGGATTGTGACATAGCCATCCCTCTTCGGGGTGATTTCTCATTTTCTGTCTCTCTGTCTCTTTCTATCCAGCTGGTGAGTGTGTGCACTCTATATCAAAAATCTCTTTCTCTTTCTCTCTTTCTCTCTAAATAAAAGAAAGAAAAAAAAGAAAAAGAAAAAAGAATAGTGAAATGATCTATTTATGTTGCTAAGATTCCAAGTTCCAGATGAGATTTGAACCTAGGTCTACCTCCCAAACAGCATAAATGTAGCTGAGAAACATCTCTGACTACACACACATCCAGAAATCACACCACAGTTATTGAATCATTGGCCAGTATCCATAGTTCAGCCAACAGAATTGTGTACCCTGGCAGTCACCCTGAAGGAAAGACTGACATCTGAGGTTTGGGGCTTGCAAAGTGTTGACATTTTCATATTGCTTGTTTATATTGCTACAGCCATTGGCATAATTCTGTATTGTCCAGATCACACTGGTGGCTTTTCTCTCTGGTAAGATTTTATGCCTTCCTTCTGGAGCATGAATGCCAGGATCACCCATTTGGGCAGATTTATTTAGGCAGGGTCTAGAAGAGAGTGACAGAGGCAAAAGAGGCTCAGCAATCTGGAATTTAGAGGCAGCTAAAATGGACTGGAATTGAAAAACTAGATAGTAATACAGCATTTATGAACTATCACTATAAATCAATATAGCTGCACTTGGGAGAGAATGGGGTAGGTATGGGAAAGAACGGGTTCTCAGAGTATGTGAGTTCACACATGTGTGTGTGTGTGTGTGTGTGTGTGTGTGTGTGTGTTGGATGGGGTGAGGAAGGCTTTTCCTCCATGAGTCATTTCTAAGCGAACTTTCCTATCAATATGTCTCCCGTAAGCCAGTTTTACCTGCATTCTCTCATAGGCAGGCCTTCCTGGGAAAACTGCAATAGCTTCCAAAGGAGATTTTAGACGGTGCACTCTGGGATGGAAATGGGTTGCTCTGTTTTGTTATTTCTTTTATTTTTTCCTGTCTCTGGTCATAGGGCATTGGCTGTTATATTATTGGTCATGGCATTATTTTAGAATTTATCTCATCAGAGAGAAAGAGAGGGCAGGCATCTCCAATACAGTTCCCATACCTCAATCCGCCTTGTGCCCCCTAGTCCCAGCCAACCCAGATGGTGGGTATGCAGGTGCACTCCCAGTACACTCAAGGAGGTCCTGGGATACAAACTCAGGGTCTTTCCCATGTGGGTCCAGCCTTACGACCAATGAATCACCACCTGGCTCCAAGATGATTACTATTTATTGAATAGTTGCTATACATCTCAGGCCCCGAGCTAATACTTCAAATACACTATCTCTTCACTCCTTAGAGCTACATTATAAGGCTTATAGAATAACCCATTTAATAGGCAGGAACTGAGACTAGAGAGGTTATGTCATGTCTCCAAAGTCTCAACACTACCATCTGTCAGAGTCTGGTCTGACTCCAGGACCTGCAATCCTAGCCAAGTCCTTGTATAAACTTCATTTCCCCAAACTTAAAATTAGAGTTACTTGTTGAGAATATGTCAATACCTTTCATAGGACTTCAATTCCTCTGAGCCCTCAAAATCTTTAGTAGGGCCCTTAAAAGGCCAAGTATATTCACCATGAAAGCCCAATAACTTCACTTAGGGTAAACATTCATCTAAGGGGAGGAGCCAGAAGACGGTGGCGTAGCAGCAACATAATGCTCTGCAAGACTGACCTCCAGGAAGGTTCTGGGTTTGCATCCAGAGAACTCCATGAACATACCAGGTACATGTGTGTCTATGATTTGGGGCTATGATTTGGGACTAGCTGAAGCTGGGAGTAAATTGTGGGGTGCAGATCCCTTTGGAGATGATTTTCTCTCTCCCTGTGTGTGTCTCTGTCTGTGTGTGTCTTGCACATGAAAGAAAGAGATAAACATCTTTTAAAAACTAGGACGTGTAGAGGAACTTTTCTTCCCTACAAGCTTTTACCAATATCACTACAATGATATAAAGATGAATGTATTAGAAGTTCTTGTGGGTCAGTCAGTGGTGTGGTGGTTAGAGGCAGGATCTCACATGGCCAGCTGTGCAGTTTGACTCCCATATCTCACATCTTGAAAATCATGCCCAGTGTATGTGTGCCCCAAATTCCGCAAGGATAAAAAAGTTCTTGTAAGATGCTCTGAAGGCCTGGCACGAACTAGACATGGCAGAGAGCAAACAGGGCAGCAGGAGAGTATGAAGGTCAGATGCTCAGATTTGGGGTTAGATAACCCTAGGGCCACATCTCAAGCATGCCCTTTATTAGCTTACTAAATGACTAATTCCCTTTAAGCTTCAGTTTCCTCATCCTCCTATGAATAAGAGCACACTCTTTGGATGATTCCAAAAATTAAGTGAGGTCATCCCTGTGAAGTGCATGACAAGTATAAGATGCATAGGAAACCTTGAATAATACTCTTATAAATAATATTGCAATTATTAAGAGTTTAATATTAGTATCTATCATTATTAATATTCAATTATCAAAATTGTTATGCTAGAGAGAGAAAGAACCAAGATTCAGAAGGGCAGGCTTGCTCAGGACTCCACATCTGGCAGTGGGCCCCAAGCGCTTTCCACAACCACACACCTGCAGCGGAATCCAGCAGAGCAGAAGATTCCAGGTGGGTAAGGTGCACTTCTTGCTGTGCTCTGAGGAAGGGAGCACCACAAACCATTGCACCAGTTATGAAACCCACAGATTCCCCAACAACAAAGCTAGCCACAGCAGTACTAGATTTTCCTGTATTTCCCAGTGCCTCGGAATCATTGCAAGTTTCTTGAGCAGGTTTTCACCTTAGTTTTGCCTTGAGTCAGATAATAAGGTGGTCACATCTGAAGGATTTCCTCTCGAGGCTCCAACCAGTTCTTTTAGTGGTGGTACATTAAGCAGTCCCCAGACATCATAACTGGGTGTTTGAAATACCTGATCTAGGAGGGGTGCCCCATCAGGTGAGGTCACACAGGCCTTATGATTAATATAAAGTGACTAATTTCCAGGTAGAATCAGAGACTCTTGCAAATTGCTTTTGTAGAAATCATATGTACTGATGTCCACCCTGACCTGAATCACTCTGTACTCACAGCAGAAACAGCTGGTGTCAGAGAACTCTCTACACCATTAATCACACTGAACCTGGTCCATAGAGATGGGCCTCCTCTTGCATTAGAAAGTGGTGAGCCTTGGGAACCAGCAGTTAGCGTACTGGCTATGTCGTTGGACTCCCACGTAGTCGACCGTGGTTCGCATCCCGGACCCGGTGGCTTATAACTCACACCGGGAGTGTGTGCATGTGTGCCCAGGATCCCTAGAGGAGAATGGAGGAGAAGGGATTGCGGCGTGACCATCCTCCCTGGGGGGTGATTTCTCGCTTTCTGTCTCTCTGTCTCTCTCTGTCTGTCTGGCGAGCGCACGCGCCCTATAGCAAAAACCTCTCCAAAAAAAGTGGTGAGCCAATGATGTCATGCTAGC